TTTGATGCAAAGTGGAAATGAGATATAAACTGTATGTCTCAAGAAGTTGAAATGTGGTTTGAAACTCATTGTGTAAAATATCTTTTTAATTTATTTTCACGTATGTTTCATATTTTTTGTAGGATATCTGTATTTTCCTTTCAACTCTAATCACGTGTCCACTAGTGTTATTCATACATATAAAAGAATAAATTACTGAGGTCTTGCTTGTTCAAAGTTAAGCAACCAGTGACGTGTTACATGGCTCTTAGTTCTAATAGAATTTAAACTATTATGTTTGTAATAAGATTAACAAAATGTACTGTAGCTACACAACCTAGTTTATATTAGTGGTTAAAGAGAGTCAAGTGGAAGGTGAGCATGAACTACACATCATCGTGGTTGACTCCTTTCAGTGACATACACATCTCCAACCTTGACAAGACTTAAGCTTCCTTTGAGATTTAAACCTGTTTACCTCAGTTTCGAAGCAAGTGAATTTTCCAGTAAATTATTCAAATTATGACTGATTCCACGTATAGTCAAACACATTGTGGTGGACCAATCGATGGATTATCGATAGTATTAGATAATCAAACAATATATTATAATTATTAGACATCAAAAATTATTAAAATATTCAGTTACTCGATGGTAAGTTGAGTCCAGCCATCACAGATTTCAGTGATATAGTTAGAAGAACCACCTGACGAATACGTTGATTATCTTTCTTCACTGGAGGTCCATAGATTTGGCCCTTTATGCTTATCGTAATGAAGATAGGTATCTCCTGTAAGTTTCCAAAAGTTAGTCGATCAACTATAGAGGGTCAACAGAGTGGCCACAGTTAATGAAAGCAAAATGTGGAAGGAAACACATGTATTTTCCTGCTAACAGGGTCGGAAATCATATTGAATTGGGAGTAAATAGTAGGTAAATGCACATTTTGGATTGTTATCAGTTAGAGAACCATTGAAAACCAGCTGGGAGTACTGGACTGCTGTTTCATCCTAGTTTGGGAATCATTGGCTAAACCGAGAATTGGTAGAAGTTAGAATTCCCTGGTTTTCAATGGTTCTCTAACTGATAACAATCCGTGATCAACTCGTAAAAACAAATCTAATCCTTACAAACCAACTATTGAAAATGCACATTTCATTTTAGACAAAGGACAAGCACAGTATTCTGATAGAAGAGAATGCTGTTTCTTAACTGTTCTTAAAAACTGTAAAGAATCATATTCCCTTTCTCCACGAGAATTCACAAGTTTATAGCTGCTTTTTACCCAAAACAACACTTTACATTCCCAATTTTCGATCAAAATCTACTCAAAAGCTTTTCCTTTTGCTTAAAATTGTTACATATTTTATTGATTTCAGCACTAAGAAATCTTGTCAGATTTATTGATCACTCCAATGAAGAAACAACATCGAATACACCGTCGACTAGTCTATCACAATTTTTCATTTTAATTCAGTTGATGAATTTACTTCTATGCAATTGTCATTTAATTCCAGTTCGAATGAAAATTATTTTGGATAGGTTGACTGAAACCTACCTAACAAAATATCAATTTGAACAAATATTGAGAATATTTGATTGGTCATTAACAGACTATGCACGTGGTTATAAGACAGTCAATGTAAGTTGGTGCTTAATACACTGTTGTTGTTTTTTTATCCTTCACGTTCCCCAGTGGAACATAGGGCTTCAAGCTAGTTGGCTTGAAGTTTCTGTAGCAGTGTTTATTTTACAGGATGGGGTTGCTAGCCTCATGCCCAATCTTTCCTCTTCACCAGCTTTAGTTCTGGCTTAGTGGGGTAAAGGAGTGAGTCGGCCGGGGATCGAACCCCGGACCATGTGCATGGTCGGCGAGCGTCCTAACCTCTATGCCACCGACGCACTTAATACACTGTGGATAAGGAAAAATATCTTGCGAAGAAACTACATTAATACTTGTTTATACTAGATTGGTTCAGAGAAATTAAAATAGGCTTCATGGTAATCGAATGAACTTGCAGACTATTTCAACTGGCCAGCGAAATTTCCAGTTACTGTGGTTGAATGGAACTTACATTAACTCAAAACTGCTTTTTAAAGCATTGATAAATATACATCACTGCTTGTAAAGCAATCGCCCTTCACCTTCTAGGAAAAGATTGTGTTCAAAATCTCCATTTGCTTTAAAGGTAGTACAGTCAGAAAATAGAATTACTTCGGAATAATAGAAAAGATTTAATTATCTATGTGACTGTGAAAACATTTTTGGTGTTCTCGAGGTTTCGATATTTGACAATGGTAATATTATTTGTTACAGGATTTTCATCATGAGCTGAGATTAGTTAGATAACCATTGGAAAACCTGGGAGTACTGGACAGCTGTTTCCTCAGTCCTAGTTTGGGACTCTTCAGCAGCACGCACCCACCGGGATTCGAACCCAGGACCTTCTGGTTACAAGGCGAGCTCGTGTGATTGTGAAAACAATTTTGGTGTTCTCGAGGTTTCGATATTTGACAATGGGAATATTATTTCTTATCTCACTGATATCAAAAGTACACAAGTTTTTGGGATTTAAAAAGTGAAGCACACTAAACAGTTTTTTGGGGAGGCACCTCATAACTACTCACTGTCTTAGAGGAACTTATCTAGTACTGTGGTGAGAGCTGGCTGGAAACAAGCCAAAATTGTAGACAACAATTTACTTCAGTGTTTACGTCCCGCATCAATCAATAACAATGCTTAACCTTGAGAAAATCACCAGCCAATCACACAGGAGTTAACGTGTAGAAATATAATTCGCAAATATATGGCTTGATCTCCTGAGAAATGCCCACAAAGAGATAACAGAATAACCTTCAGCAAGAAGACAACCAATCAGAAGAGGTCGCTTCTCCGCTAACAATAATGTACATAAAAATCTATAAATACCTCTTGATTTTCTCAATAAACGATCTGTTGCATGGCCCTTGTCTTCTGTCGTTACAGTACTATGGATTATTTCATTTCTGACACAGCATTATTGCATTGCACACAATCATGCATTCAGTTTGAGTCATATGGAGGGTAAACATTGCTTGTTTGAGGCTTATTTGATAAAAGAATCCGGTATGATTCAAGACCAGTCTTCTTCAAATGTATCAACGACTGATGTTCGCCTCAACTATAATGTCACAAACCATCATTCTTTTTCATATTCTCATCTTTATTTCAGGATGTTTTGCTACTTCTGATAATGGGATATTCATTTCGTTTACCATACTTATAGTCTCTTCATACTTGGTAGGCAAAATAGAAGTTGTGACGATTTGAATTATCACACAATTTTATCGATTCTTATGTTGATAGTGTGTCTGCTTTTCTAATTATTTCATTTTTAAAAATATATCGCTTCTGCTTTTTATTATATACTCATCAAAAAGTAGATTATAGGGAAAAATCTAACCGAATTTACATTTTATTTGGTAAAAGTTTGAAATCTATTCTGCTAGACGCCTTTATAAGAAAAGAATGTGTGTCTAAATCGTATTAGTCAGATATGGATTGGTGATGATAATGATACCCAGCTTTAGATAGGTCCAAGTCTTAATTATAACTCCTTACTTACGTTCTCAAGTAAAGAAAATATATTTCAGTAAGTCTTGTTTTAGGTAAAACCCATAGACGCGCATCTTATCTCTGTTGAAGAAGACTGACTGAGATTTCAGCTCACAACTCTGCAAAGAAGTTCATAAGTTACGTTCTTACAGCTCAGAACAGCATAAACGGGATGAAAAAATGAATAAATACAAGTGCTAACAGAAGAAAGACAGGTAAACTGATAGTGTATGAAATTGTTGAGAATACAGATCACAAAGAATGAATACATTCTCTTACTGAGCCACTAAGCATTGACAACCACTCATTTTTAGCACCTTTACGGCCCCCAATCAGGCAACATTCAGCTATTTATCCAAGACCTGCAGTAATTGATGGAACGGTAATTGACTTTATGAATTCCTGCCGTATTTTTGTTTGACCACTTCTAACACCTTTGTTTGGCTGGTATTTCTCTTTTTGGGAAATGGTATCTTGTATGTTTAATACGTGTTTCGGCAACTTCAAGAGATGGAACTTTACAGCTTCGTCAGTTGACTCGCTTCTATTACCCAACGGTATACACCCAATCTTACACTATCTGTCACGTAGTTCCAACTGATTTAACGAACTATATATAGAGATAAATACGTTCAAAAACCCTCAAAAAATTTCATATTTTAATACTTACTGCCTCCTTGTTTCACATCTGTACAGTAAGATAGAGTGAACTCCTACTCAACACATACACACACTTTTTCATAGAAATGTCTTATCACATCGACTAACACTAAACGAGTCTTTTGTTCCTTTTGCTTGTTTTCTCTGACCTTGGTTTATTCTTCCTATAAGTGTATATATTATCCAGACTATTTCCTCTATGACAATCACAGGAACTTCTTTCCTCTTTATTATAAGAGAAGCCTAGGAAAACATCGTCCTTTCCTTGCTCCTACAAACTCATTTAGCCATACCGCAAACAAATGATAAATCACTGCACTCCAAGTAAGAAATGAGCTACTTTTGTTGATGCTCAATGACATTCTATATCGTTGAGTTCATTAAGACTTTACCAAAAGTCTTTTGAAACTCATCAGGCGGTTTTGCCAGATTCCTTGCATCGCCCACATAATGATATTCAAAAACTATAACTAGATCTTACACAATTTTCAGAGATAGAATGTGCACGCCTAACCACTGAGATCTGCTGTTTAATCTGGCATGACTCTTAGATGCTAAAAAATATAGGGTGAAGTACACTGCTTGGTTTTTGGAGCTAAGAATAGCATTCCACTTGATCAGTTCGTTATAAATAGTCTTACAGTCAATAAAAACTGAAGAAACCTCATGAATTAGTGGCAAGAAGAATTCCAGAATGAGGCCAGTAAGTGTAGGTGATAAACAATTGAGTTTTGTGTACTTCTAAGCCATACACACACTGTGAAACTTGTCTATACAACAACTCAAATATAAACTCGAATTCTTCTTAAAGATATTTTTCATCTAAAAAGTGATTTATCTTTGAGACTAATTGTAACTACTATGTCTTAATACTTCTACTAATTTATAGACTTCTGAACAACCAGTATGGAATATGTGTACACTTGATGAAGAATATATAATTCTGAAACAAATGAAACGTTGGCTGAAAATCGCGCCACTTGCTGATGATTTATTGAAAACTATGAAGAATGATTTACCTCAAGACATGGATGCAACAGAACACTTTACTATTGCTGATAATGAAGAAGGCAGAAAGCTTTCAGCATCTTCTACATCAGTAGTTGGCAGCCATGTAAGCCTAGAACTGTTGTATCCTCACACAATAGTCATTGGTAAATCACCAACTCATAGAACACCTGAATCCAATGAATTCTGTAATTCCGCATTACTGTCAAACCAAACGTCAATGGAGTCACTGTCCATTCATACACTGAGAGATTACTTAGTATCTACTGCTACTAATTTTGATAAGCTTAACGAATATACACTTTTATCAACATTAGCAAATATTGGCCTTTATGGATATTCGCCAAGAGTTAGTATAATTCCAATGACAAATTCAAATATGGACACTAGTTCAAAAAGCGAGGATAGCTTCACTTCTAAAGAATTTAAAAATATGAGTACACTGCATACACAAAACGCAGAGGTCGAATCCAGTTATACACTTTTCAATAATTCAGTTAATAAATTTCAGTCTAATGCGTTAAATAATGAAAAATATTCTATAAAATCGACCAACCAGTCCAATGATGATAATATCGGCAATCGGTTTAGAAAACTAGAAAGCAATACTCTGAAAAGTGAAGTAAACGACATCAGTAAACAAGGTTAGTGAGCTCCCTATTTCTTACCATATCGTTTTGTGCATGAAATTGTCTTTCTTTTAAAGTTCCATGTTGTGAAAAGTAGCTAAATTATTTTGTGAATTCCTCAAATGTCTAACGATTCATTGAATAATAATTCAGTTCTGACTAAATAAATAAATGGCATAATATAATGAGATCCTTCAATGCACCTCTGATTTTCGCCATCAGTTTAGTCACCAGTGAAGACTGAACAAAAAACCATCTAATGTTTCAAGTGAAGAGAAGAAATACAGATCATGTAGTACATGTAATCTAAAGTCCTTCTACTCCCTATCATTTCTTTGATTCAAACACTGTCGAAATAACAAATTCGGCTTTAATCAAAGTGTTCATTCTCTTAACACCAGATTTATTTTTCATTTTGTACAACCTCTCTTTTTCACGGTGAAGCTTTTTGAGTTGAGAAGAGGAGAAGCGGTCGAATTTTAAGAAGATTATCTCTTTTGGACAACAAACATCAAGACAAAAATTAAGATAATATGTTATGTTACTAATTGTGTTATCGAGAGCTTGTTCAGTAAACAGTTTGTGTCTTTTAACATTGTCCCTAGATTCTGTATGTTGTCATGTGAATAACATCTGTGTTGTGCTTTCTTTCCAAGGTATGAGAAGACCCTTTTGTGCAGCTTTCCATATACTTTGGGCAATATTCTTATGATACAGTGATTAGAATTAAGTAGTGGGGCTCTTTTCCGAGCTTCAAATATTCCTGTGTCATTTGTAAACACAAGATCTAGAGTATTTTCCATTCGAGTCGGGAAGTTGACAATGTTATCATGACCAAGTGAAATAAGGAAGCTGTGATCACTAGAATTGAAATCTCCAGTAACTATAGACAAGGAGTTTCCGAAGGAGGTGGCAGCAAGGGAGGTAAATTCATCCGCAAATAAAGACAATTCAGTGGAATTGCATCCAGGCGCAATATAAATGTTCGAGATGTATATGTAGTTATATTTTGACAAATGTTTAGGTCAACATTTAACGGTGAGGCAGTCAATGTTGTCACTAGAGAATTTGAAACATACTTTATTAGATGTACACCATTGTGAATTGATGAAGATGGCGACACCGCCACCACGTTTCTTCCTAGAACTACACCGATCTTGTCTGAAAAATTTGAAATCATGCAGATACACTAGATTGTCATCGTATAGATCATGTAGCCATGTTTCTTGAAGTGATATGATCCCAGTATTTCGATATCTAATGGAAGACACGAGTGATTGAAGACAGTTAATCTTGGCTGGCAGGGAGCGACAATTAGTACTCATAATTGCAGGAACAGTCATAAATTGAATAGGGATTTTTTAAGGCTCTTTGCCACCCAGCATGATGCTCTTTTTGTCTTTTTTATGGTATTTCCGATCAGTAGGTTTTAAGAATATTAAATACTCACGAGAATAAATAATCCGATGAGAGGACATATTTGAATAAGATTTAATTATTTAAAATGAATTGGAAATGAGCAATTAGATGCAATATGATTTGTAATGTATAAGGTATTTGGTAGCCCAAGATTTAAGCAGGCCGCCAAGGTGAAAGACAGACATTCTGAACTACAAACATTCATCATCAGATATTCATCAATAATGAAAACTACCACTACATAGTTGAGAGCTTCTCTTTAGTGCTAGACACATAAATTTCTTAAAGTAAGCGGCAAACGCTGTGAATAAGTATTATCGAGAAGTCATAAACGATGATACTTTTCTGATCACATAGCCGGGTAAAATCACTCGCAAAATGGATTCTTTACTGAGAAATGTGCCTCCTTTGTCGTTGATAATGATGTACAGAGAATTAAGTGAAAAAGTAAGCTGAAAATTTTCCAAACGTTAGCAGTTAGGTTTTCGTGTTGCCTGAAAACCTACTAAAGAACTAAGAACATACGTGAATGTCCTAGATTTGAATTTTACTGTTTTTAACTGTAGCCATTTCGGTCATGAGTTAAATATGTCTGTTATAAGTGTGGAATTCAGTCGGCATCAAGGACTAGACACATGATATTGGTTACTCCACGGTATCCAATGAGGGTATCCACTACAGTCCTGCCATCCATTCATCAGCCCGAATAACTCAGCGATAATGTTACTGACTGCAGCACTAGGTGACGTGGGTGCCCATCTCAGAGGGAACATCAGTTCCTTCTAAATTACAGATACGCCTTGCCGACGAGTAGCAACAACCATGGTCTAGGGCTTCTTGCCGATTGCCCCCAACCATCTAACACCAGACTTTAATTCTCCACAGTGAAAACTGACACAGGAACAACCAAAGTGGATTACTAAGCATATACAGATTCAGGATCCAGTTGCTAAAATAGACAGTAAAACTGCCGAGCTAGCAGTAGTGACCTAGGTTTTTAATTCATTCTCTTGAATTATTCACTTTAGAGATATCAGTAGTTTAGGTAGAATTTCAGCTTTAAAATGTTTCAAAATAGAATAAGTTAGTAGACTGTTCTTTTACAGCTATCTGGAACTTAGGTTTTGTTGCATTTTACATCCTTTTATTTGTTCATGTGCCAACCGTTTAGCGCGAAAACTCAGTAACTTGAACAGTAACACGAAAGATGTTGCTAAAACTGATGCAGCAATTAAAATATAAGAGCGAATTACCCACACTAGTGGCTACCATCGGAGTTAAGGAAGTGAATTGCACTCATTCTGGGGTTCTCTAAACGAATTATGCTGTGTCCTTGTTGATTTTCCTCCCGCAGGTGGAATCCATTATCTGCCTTCCATAGTGCTACAGAACTGTGTTTTCCTGAGACACTCTCAGAAGCATATTATAATCCAACAAGGTTTGAACAGTTTTGTAATAATAATAATAATAATAAGGATTTCAATATACTATCTTCACCTCCGTATATTTTTGTTTTCAGACGTTTTACTCAGAGATATAAATTCATATCAGTTTGAAATTCCGGATACAGAAATTAAAGAGATATCAACTCCAAGAAGTGTTCAAAGTATTCCTGTTACAATTCCTGAATACATCAATAATTACTCGGTAAAACAATCGTGTAATCGACTTACAACAAGTCAGACATCTAAAAAACCAGTTTCTTCTGAACAGAGGAATAAAAAACGTGTCATGTGTCCCAGTTGTAGAAAGACATTTTGTGACAAGGGTAAATCTGATTGTTACTATACTTGTTGTATTTTGATTTCATTTACAAACATTTATAAGTACTAGGAAGTATTTAGAAGCTATACAGTCTGTTCATGAAAGTCTTCCAGATGGGCTACTGATTGACAAAACCTTTGCAGCGACTTGAGCGGTTTCTGACTGACAACTCATAACATTCAGTACTATATTCTGAAGTTTTGAGTGTGGAATTCGCCCACTTTTAAAAATTTTTTCTCAGTTTCCATTGACCTGACTTGTCATTGACAGTAACAAAGAACTAAACCTCATATTGCTGTAGGTAAAAGTGCATCAGGTGAAACGCGAATTCAGGCACTATTACTTCACACTACTTTACCAAAAGTATTTTAGCCACAGTCAGTGAAGTCAGTGCTACTATACGGATCAGAGACTTGCACTGCGCGTCATAAAGAGCATCTCAAACAAACTACAGAACTTCATTAACAGTTGTCTTCGCTCAATACTCAAGATCAGATGGCCGGCCAGAAAAGATCAGCAACAGGGATCTCTGGCAATGAACCAACCAACCAGGAACCGATTGTGAAACATATAGGCAGGAAGAAATGAAGATGGATTGGCCAGACTCTGAGGAAACAAACCATCGAGTGACATCACTAGACAGGCTCCGGGGTGGAACCCAAACGGGAAGCGGTGAGTTGGTAGTCAGTGCGAGGGTGGGTGACTTGGAGAAGGTCATGTGAAGAGGAGATGAAGGTGTGTGGGCAGACTTGGAGCCAGGTGAAAACTCTAGCAGAGAACCGAACGCAATGGAGACGCACGGCTGAAGCCCTATGTTCCTCTAGGAATTAAAGGATACAATAATAATATAATTTTAGACACAACTATGAATTCTGATCACAGGTTGTGTTACCTTATCAGCATTTTACCCATAAGAGTAGTGATTTTCTGTAAAATCCCCTAGACAATATACTTGTCAATTAGAAAAGTAATGAGTTTGTAGTAGGATCCTATTCCACCATACTAAAAATCATCCTGATATATCTCCATGATTTCTATCCGGTATATCAACAGTAAAATTATAGCAGTTCACATCTGAAAAGACAGAAGCAGTAGACCTCCAAAGATAAATAAGTATTGTCCCGTTAACAGTATACAAAAGTAACGTGATATTTTAGAAGCTGGAAACTTCGCTGTTCTCTGATTTCGATAGAAACGTATTTATTTTAACATTTATGAGCAGTAACCCTTAGACTTGAGTATTACGCTAGACGAACAAGTTGGAAGTAACGCAGGTGACTAAAACACTAAATTATAAGTTATAGAATACAGCAAAATATTACCTGCTAACTGGAATCTTAAGGTGCTCAAATGAATATTATTGTTCATAAAGAATTCAAGCTACTAGTAAAATAGTGAGTAGCAGTAGCCATGGGGCAAAATATGCAAAATTAAATTACCTTTTTACCTTTTATTAACTATACTTCAGAAATCTTACAAATTTCATGAAGTTGTATGTAGTCGTTACTAAGAAATGACAGAAAGGTTCGAGTGTTTGAATGACACATTAAAAGTCTATAACAAATGGCCAGCATACTCACTTTTTGAGATTTATTCTTTCTGAAATACAAAATGACTGTAATTAAACGTTTAGTTTACCAAACACTAACCTTTTGATAAAATAGAACTTTTGAAGAAGAGCTTAGCAACATTAGTGATATACTCCTCACAAGAATATTGAAATCGTATTGGTTACAATTATAAAATTATCAACTGAAACTGTAAATTTTGGTTGACGTTGTCAGAGAAATTATATCACAACCTCTGATTATTGTTATCACTTCCTTCCGTCCCCAGTGGGACATCCAACACATCCTTATTGCACTCGATTCTCCATCATCTTACTCAACTGGTTTCACAACTGCTCGGAAACCTCCATTTGCTCCTCATATAATCTTTTTAATGTCACCCTAGGAATCCCACTCTAACTGCCGCTTTCCATTCAGTGGCCTAGCGTGTCATGTCACTTGATGGGCAATGGGTCCTTTTCTCTTTCATTGGGCTGCCAGAAGTCCCTGTCGTGTATCCTCCCTGGCCGTCTGATCTTTAGTACGAAGTCAGAGAAGTTAGTTGTTGCTAAAGTCTTCAGTAGCCTACTGGAAGTGCTTCCAGTGAAGCATGTGCCAAGTATCTGAACCATATGGAAACAGTGACTTGACGTTAGTGTTAATAATTATAATCTCCATCCTTGTGCTTAATGCTGTAGACATCCACACAGATTTCAAAGTAATGAACTCTCATCTTGTTTCCCTGATCCTGACTGACTTTGACTTCTTCATCCGTGCCACTTGTAAATAAAACAATGTTGTTGAGGTGAGTGAAAGAAACTAATTCCTTTAAATTTCTCGCACTGTTGATGATTGGTAGCAATTCTCATGTAGCTGGCTTCCACTTATTTTGAGGTAAAATCAACATCATGGAGAAGATTTGTCGCTCAGGTGGATGATTCTGATTTAGTTGTGTTCTGCTGGCCTGTTGGTTTAATTGCGAAATTTCCTCCATCCTTCTAGACAACATCTTCAGCTCAGGTTGTCTAGAAGGACAAAGAAAGCTTCGCAATTAAACCAACCAACCCGCAGAACACAACTAAATCGAAATAAACATCAGATGAAAGAAGGTTAAAGACCATATATCACTGGACAGTCATTTCATTCAAGTTTACGGTGATGCGTTGGTGAACAGTGAAGGCTCTACAATGGTACTGAGCATGAATTACAAATTACAGACTATCAGGTTCCAACCCATTTCAATTAATAACTTTTTCACATATAAACCGAAGTTGTTTATTCATTTTTTTCAAGGGAGTCAAGTATGTCTTCTGTTGAACAGTCGCAAATTAAAAAGAATTGATTGGTAATTGCTGATTCTTAATTCTTAATAGTTCTTCCACTGACTTCTAGTAACTCAATCAATTTCCAACAAGATGAACGTTTAAGTTTTCTTTTCTATTAATACAGGTGCTCTCAAAATCCACTATAGCGCAGTTCACTTGAAAGAAATGCATAAATGTACAATAAATGGTTGTAACATGTGGTTTAGTTCAAGAAGAAGTCGAAATCGTCATTCTGCAAACCCAAATCCACGTTTACATATGTTAAATAATAGTAAAGCAGTATACAATGATGATTATAATAAATAAACTGATTGGGTAAGTCTCTGTGCTACATATTATATGAGGTGAATTAAAGTTCTCTTCATTCATTGGGTCATTTGATTTGTCATTTTAAGCCTTGCCAAGTGAATATCAAACTTCATATACTTTGTTTAGTAAATACTATCTAATTATTACATGTAAGCACTTATTCTTCATTAATAAAGTTAACGTGACTTTAAAATTTCTTTTACTTTACAGTATTGAAGACTGAAAATTTCAAAACTGATTTAAACCAGCATCATTTATCGAAGATGTGACAGCAAACATTGTTTATCAGAAATGAAGAGAATACAAGGCGGTAATTTCAAGAAGTATCCGGTTCTTTTACTCAAATAAAAACATATTTGAACACTTCTTTCATCCATATAAATAAATCGCATTCATGGTAGTTTATATCTTCTATATTAATTAAACTAGTAAATGTAAATATTCTGTAAACTCTTCCTAATAATCCCGTTGTTAATCATGTGTATTACCCAGTGATAAATGTTATCTATGCCTTAATTTTCTTCAGTAATGTCATTTTCTGATCAACTGTTTAATATCGCGGATTCTCCTTTACACGAATATAATCAATTGATACACATACATTCATCTACAACGAACTTGGGTTGTTAAATTTTAATTAAATTTTGATTTTCCGTTGATTGATTGGACCGAAATATTCAGCTTCTGTTGACACGTCGTCTTCTATAGCAGAAGCTTCAACGATGTCTCAGGATTAACTTGAAGTAGTTTGGTGGATTGTGACTAACAGTGGAAGGTGGGTACCGGGTTTGAACTTCATTGGGAACACTATCACTCACTGGGGAATGCAGGTACACCCAGATGATGAGTACCGAATAGGACGAAGTGCACATCCTGGATTCCACTTCTAGTTACCATCCACCAAATTACTTTTGAGTTTAGTCATTTTCAGAATTATAAAGTTGGGTGCGCTTGCGTGTGTATTTGTGTTCCGACAAGAATTCAAAACCGATAAGTCAATAGGTTAACTTTTACTCATTGAGATATTTGTCTACGATAACCTTGAGTAATAACTAGAGCTAACAGTTTTTTTTTTTTTAATAATAATAATTTACTTTATTCCAAAACAGTACTTGTGATACAGAATGGAATTCTCAGCATTTTTACTACAGTATTGCATCCAGTTAGTACATTATCAATAAATAGAGTTCTACATAGATTGAGGAAACCACAGTTCATTATTACAACAATACATTGGCATGTCAGTAGCAAAGGTAAAGCTGAAACAGTGTTTGAAGGTGTTAGAAAAGTGGGAGCTGTCTTATTAACTGGTGTAAGCGAGAGAAAGAGACAAAGCAGTACATAACGGAAAAAGAAGAGAGAGAAAAGGAAAAGAAAGAAAGAAAATGTTGTACCTATTGATGAAGTGGGTTGGAAAGATGAGATCCAGTTGTACTAATGACTATATAATGAATTATAGGTGTCACGCCTAATACTTTCTTTATCACACAGAACACGAGCGAAGTAGGGTATGGTTGAGTTTTTGTACTTGCTGGTGCGAGCATATAGTTTTCTATATTGGCTTCTTGTTTTACCTGATGAGATGCAAGGGGAGAGTTGTGAGTGAAGAGGGTGGTGCGAGTTAGATAAAATGGATTTGGCCCATTTTTCACATGAGTCCATGTGCCTGTCAACCAAAATATTAACAAGCTGGTTAAGTGGCACGTTGCTTACTCTGCTGACAACATTTAACATCCTGCGTAATATGTTATAGTCTTTCTTCAGTAGCCCGGGAAAAACTAAGGGGGAACAATAGAGAATAATAGGCAGGATGCGAGAATTAACGAATTGTAGGAGTAAGGGTTGGGTAATACCAGAATGTTTTGACTTCTTAATGTAGAAGGTAAGACGGAATATTTTCTTAGAAATTGCTAAGATATGAGACGACCAGGAGAGATCAGCAGATAGAATGACGCCTAGGTATTTAATTTCCGATTTAGTCTCTATTTCAGTGCCGTCTATGTTGCATACAGTTGCAGTTTCTTACCATCAGTTCGAACAACCAAAGCCATGAAATAACTACACTTGGAATAACGTATTACCTATTTATGCTCGTTTAAACCATTTGATGAGCTATATTAAGAAACAACACACGTCCTAGATTTGGTTGCAAGTCGTACTTATATAGTTTCATAGAACACTAGAGGAATGTACTGACAAAGTCGAAATTTGAACAGAACCTAAGATCATATTGAGATGTTTTAATCTTAATATCACTCCTGAAATAGGTAAGATATGTAGCAATATATTGTAACGGTAGATTTTTGTTCACATTTCACACGTACAAGAGGCTGAGCATCCCACAAATATTTAAGTTATGATATTTAAGATTAGTATTAACTAACGTTCAGTCTTCTAGGTTAGCCTTTCCAAACTGTAAAAACACAGATAAAAAGCCGATTTCATTGAAAGACTTACATAAATAGGTGTGAAATGTTGCCGAATAAATTTCGCTCCTAAAAAGTTGCTTCAGCTGACAGCAGAGATACAGTTGTCATTCATTAAATATAAGATTTTATACATATGCAAAACTAGGACACTGTGACAGTATACAATTCCGTATTAAATTGTTTATTAAATACAGCACACAGTGAAATAATATTATTAACTAGATAACGTTTCAAACATAATTTATTGTTCCTAATTTTATCAGTTATTCTCACCGCTAACCAAGCAGGAAGACATAGTTATGCAGTTTTGAAAATAAGCGTCAAGAAATCATTGCATACCAGCTAGTTCTGACCAACACATTGTATCTGAAGATTTCGTACTTAAAACTGCATTGTTCCTGTTGTTAATCCGATGTATTATACATACAATATGATTGCTGAGTTACTTTACTTCTATGCCTCTGTTTCATGACATTAAATCCCAGATGCTATAACTTTGGAATTCAGAATGGAATTATGAATCACAGATGCTAAGTAATAAATAAATTTAGCTAAGGTTGGTTGCTTGACTTTTCAAAGTGGCATCATTGTCCTAGGGAATATAAAGAAAAATTTGCCATCTTGTTTAACAGATTTAAGCTAATTATTATTACTATCGTTTATTCATTTCTCGATTTCTGGGTGGAACACAGGTCTTCAGAAGCACGTCTTCATTACGCTCTGTCCCCCATGGTCTTTTGTAGCTGGCTGCGGAACTCTCCTTAAGCTTTCATATCCTCTTCACATGATCTTCCCCATGTCAGCTTCGGACACCCAACTCTTCAATTCCTGTTAGGGTTCCACTCAAGGCCCTGCTCAATCATCCTCTCAGCGTGTGGTGAGAGCTGTCTACCAGCCAAATTGGTAGACAGTAATTTACGTCAATATTTACGTTCCCAAGATTGTCGTGAGAAAATGTGAACAAAGATTGATTCAAAACCGACCACAGCATACTTTGCGTAGGCGGATGCAGTTAACATATAGAGGATTTGACATTCAAGAAACAGTCACAAATAGATGAAAGATTAACTTTACGTGAGAAACAACCAATCGGAAGACTGTGTTTGTTCGCTTAACTATCCATAATAATGTACATGAAAATATATAAATATGCGTTGATTTCCTTAATAAACGATCTGTTGCCTGACTCTTGCCTTCTGTCGTTACAAGCGTATGTCCAGTTCATCTTCACCCCATACTGCCCAAACTTTTCATTATACTACTTATTAACCCACCTGAACTTCTAACGCCCATGAGATCTTTCTTTCAAGATTATTTTGGTTGCAGAATGGCTCCTGTCAAGGAAACCCTAAAACTTAGATGGCATGAGACAAATAAATTGTTTTGTCCTGTGGAAAATGATGCTACTGTTTAGTTGTCAAACTGAAAGTCTTCTGTTTCGGAAGTGTTTAACTTCAGTCATTGTATGTTTTCTAGCGAACATTGCCAGAAAACCAAGACTAAACAATGTTTCGGTCAGTCTGTACTAAAAGCCTCTCTGAAATCAATGTCTTCCATAGCTTTTCTAGAAAGTTGTATGTTTATCTCTGAAAATGTAAATCGCTAACTTTTTCTTGTAATTGGCAGCTGAAAAATGCGGAGTTGTGTTATGCATTTATTACAAAAAAAAACTTTCTTCACTGTCAATGCAGTTGTCAGATAGTTACTTCTTGTATTAAAAAAAGAAATGCGTAGCAGCCGATGATATATGTTTGATTTCCCACAAACTGGAAGATATGCAAGCGAAAAGTAACAAGTTGACAGAAGAAGCATAAAAGATAGGACTCAGGTGAACATAGAGAAAACAGAGGTGATGAAGATTCCTGGGCAACACTACCAACAGCAACAACAGACAACAATCAGCATAAATGGAAGGAACCTGAAAGAAACAACCTCCTTCATCTACCTACCTGGGAAGCATCGTTTCAACTACAGGCCGACGGAACTGACGAAGATATCAAAGCAAGAATCGGAAAAGCAAGACAAGCTTTCACTACTCTCAAGTCTGTGTGGAGGTCAACAACACTCAGCATCAAAAATAAGATCCGGATTTTCAACTCCAATGTGAAGTCAGTGCTACTCACTATACGGATCAGAGACTTGCACTGAGTGTCACGAAGGGCATTTCGAACAAACTACATACCTTCATTAACAGTTGTCTTCGCTCAATACTCAAGATCAGATGGCCGGCTAGAAAAGATCAGCAACAGGGATCTCTGGGAGCGAACCAACCCAGCAGGAACCGATTGTGAAACATATAGGCAGGAAGAAATGGAGATGGATGGATTGGCCATACTCTGAGGAAACAAACAATGAAGTGACATCACTAGACAAGCCATTGCTCGAGTGGAACCCGACTGAAAGGGAAGCGGTGAGTTGGTCGTCAGTGCAAGAGTGACTTGGAGGAGGTCATGTGAAGAGGAGATGAAGGCGTGTGGGCAAACTTGGAGCTAGGTGAAGACTGTAGCAGAGAACCGAACGCAATGGAGACGTTTGGCTGAAGCCCTATGTTCCTCTAGGAATTAAAGGAAACAATAATAATTATTATTATCGATAACACTACGAAATAGAAGTGTGGATGACGAAAAATGAATAAGAGTAGTAAATGACTGAAGTACTGCGATAGTCTATGATTAACTAAGGATTATCTTAGACTCGAAACATATGTAAGCAAAACACATCAAAATTCGCACATAAATTTGCAAGGAATGAGGAATAATGAACCCTGAAATGTTGATAATTGTCTTAAATTTGTTTAGTAGGTGTAATATCCGTATGATAGAAAACCGTATGTTTATTTTCTAAATAGGCTTATGGAAAATCATTAACAAGAAATTATCATAAACTAGATATTTGTTCACTGAACTTGTTTGCTGAAGGAATTTCATGCCAGCTT